TTACTGGTGCCTGCTCAAGGCAATCGACGAACAACAGAATGATCGTGATCATTTGATGTTTTTGTTATTAATAACTACTTCCATCTTGCTTTCCAAATCGACAATATTTTAACCAGTAATTCTTTTCTCCATATGAATTTTTCATGTAAAAATTTATATTGCCTGCAATATCAGGGAGATAGCACAATGTCTAAGTCACTTGCCTTGTGTGGTCTTGCTGACCCACTTAAGTTCTCAGCATCACATATGATACCCCTGAGTATTATCAGGACTAATCCCTGAGCACTGCCACCTGTGGCCAAACCCTCACAAAGCTCTGGAGATAGCACAATGGGGAAGGTCTTGCACATGGCTGATAAGGATTTGATCCCTGATAGTACCAGGAGTGGTTTTGCCTGAACACAGAGCTAGGAGTAAGCCCTGAGCACTGCCAAGTGTGGCCTTCCCCATCAAAAAAATTTATATTTATAGCAAATGCATATTATTCTACTTTTTACACTGGTAGCAAAATTTAATTAGCTATATATTTTTACTATGTATTTTTAATGTTAAATGTGTTAATTTTTTTTAATGTTGCTCACTTTCCACTACCCTGACTATTAGCACTCACCACTTGATTTGCACTAATACTTCAATTACAAACAATAGATACTGAGTGCTGAGGTTCGATGCAGGTGAAACCAAGAAAATAAAAGCAGCCAACACAACAAAATAAAACCAGATTGCCTTCTCTGAAACTAACCCTGAATAGTTTAGGTTTTCAATAGTAGATTGATGATAGATAGGGATAGGGAAAGGTCTCCAATGTTTGTCAGGCCTTGCCAGTCGTCAAATCTAATAGAGCCAGTTTTTCTGCATTTATAAATATGCAGGACCAGTCAAGGTCAAAGAACATTCACTGGCTTTCTGGGAACAATACTAGTCTCTCTCTCTCTCTCTCTCTCTCTCTCTCTCTCTCTCTCTCTCTCTTTCTCTCTCTCTCTCTTTCTCTCTCTCTCTCTCTTTCTCTCTCTCCCCTCTCTTTCGCTTCTCTTTCTCATTTTTGGGCACAGTACTCTCTTTTTGGGGGACACAGTAGAGGGAAAGAAAAACTGTGACCTTACTAGATGCACAGACTTGACTAAATCCTCATTTGGGAGTTCTTTTTTATTTTTCTCTTTAAGGGTCACTTCTGGAGGTGCTGGTGGCGGGGGGTGTGGGGGGGCGGGTTATATGCAGCGCAGGGACTCGAACCAGGGCTGTAGTAGCCACAGTCACATGTGAGTGCCTTAACCTTTGTACTACCTGTGGCCTCCCTTTGACTTTTTTTCTTTTCTTTTTTTTTTTTTTTAACATCTGTGAAGTGTCCCAGCAAGGTATCAGGAGGCACCGTCTCTAGGGCCAAGTTTCAATGCCATTTACAATCCACCACAAATAGAAGGCATCCAAATGGCACATTCAAGAGAGATAAGAGCAGTGGAGAAAAGCATGGAAGAAGAGAAGGGAGAGAAAGAGGGAGGAGGAACTAGATCTCTGAGCAAAAGGGGGGAAAGTCAGCTCAATTACGGAAGAAAAGACACACACATAGGATAGCTCACACAGGCAGAGTTGCTGTGGAAGCACATTCCAGGAAAATCTTAAGAGATTACTTTAATAATAAACCATGCATTCTTCAGCAAGCCATCACGGGATTAACTACCGCTTTCCTAGACTGGGAACAGTGTTGTCAGGTTTTCCCCCCCTTCTCCCTCCCAGGTTTTGTGCAAAGTGAAAAGTCATGCAGTCACCAGTTTCTCTCAGCCTATATTAAATTGTCCTCGCCTTAATTTGATAAATATACAATCAGTGGTGATAAGAAAAGACCTTGGCTTAGGCAGGGTTAATGCCTGGGTGGGCTTGAGTGGGATTCTTTAGCCCCAAGGTAGTTTATTTTCAACACATTAAAAAGAGAAGCTCTGGGCCAAAGCTGAACCCCTGGGTAGGGAGCTCGCCTTGCACAAGACTGACCCTGGTTCGAACCCCGGCATCTCCCATGTTCCCTGAGCACTGTTATGAGTGATCCCTTAGCACAGAACTAGAAGTAAGCCCTGAGTACCACCTGGTATGATCCCTTCCTGCTTCCTTTCCCTTCCCCCCGAACCCCCCAAAAAATTCACCCAAAACAAGCCTATGAAGTCCTGAGAGAACAGAGACAATGTTTGACCAGAAATAAAAGGGGTTAAATTTATTCTCTTTGATATTTTTTTCACCCTTAATGTGAGCAGAACATCGAATCACTGCCAGAAACAATATCAGCGCTCTAGAGATACAAAAATACATTTCAAATCAGAGCACTCCACTGTGGGCTTCAGCTTTACACATAAAACAACAGAGCTGTCAGTTTTAAGCTGCGTGAATCCAGTGCTCGTAAGTGAACTGTTTTCATCAAAGCCCTTTGAAACTGCAGTTCACTGAGGATGAAATTATTTTCTTCCTCTGGCTTCTTAGACAAATCCCTTCTACTTGGTAGGGCAGAGCAAACATACGTTAACATTTCTTGAAAAGCCTTGAAATTTTTAAATAAGTTTGAGTGATCCCATCTGAGTGGAGAAAGTATTACATATTAAGGTTAATTAAAAGGGAGTCACATTTCTTTTCAATCGCCAAAGCCTCTATTTGCCTAAAATCAGCTGTCATTTCCCCCAGCTACTTAGCCTCTGAAAGTGAATCCCCCCCTTCCAGATTTCTGGATCTTGAAAATTAAGCACCAAGTCCTGAGATGTCTACAATTCAAGTTCTGAATGGCAGTGATATGTAAAATGGGGCAGGGGGCCGGGCCTCAGGTACACGGGTGGTGTAGAGGAGTCCTATAGCTCTAGAACCAAATTAGAATCAGTAACAATGAGGGCAGGAATCCAAATTACAACAACCAATCAACCCAAAATGTGTCTGTTGGGACTGGAGGGATAGTACCGGGGTACAGTGCTTGCCTTGCACACAGCTGACCTGGGTTCGATCCCCGTCCTCCCACAGGGTCTCCTTACCACCACCAAGAGTGATTCCTGAATGCACAGCTGGGACCAACTCCTGAGCATCTCTGGTTGTGCTCCCCCCTTCCCAACCTCCCCCCAATAAACAAACAAATAAAAAGTGCCTAACAAAGAGGCGGAGGGAACCTTGATGAGTGGGAGGGAACCTGGGGACAGGATGCTGGCAAACGAAAATTGACTCTGGTGGTGGAACTGGTGCTGGAATATCATGATCACGATCATCCTGTTGTTCCTTGATTGCCTCGAGCAGGCCCCAGTAACATCTCCTTCGTCCTAGCCCTGAGATTTTAAAGTGCCATATTCAAGGCCCTTGCAGGGTTAGGAGAATGAGACCCATCATTGTTACTGGTATTTGGCATATTGGGTACGCCATGGGGAGTTTGCCAGACTCTGCCGTGTGGGCAGGTTACATTCGATAGCCTGCCAGGTTGTCCATGCTGGAATATGGTATGCCTAAAACTCAACCACGGATAACTTTGCAAATCACAGTGTCTTAAGAAAATAGATAAAGATTCATTTTTAAAAGGCTAATCTAAGACTAAAGCTTGAATATCTCTTACCATCCCACAGTTATTTTGTTTGTTTGTTTGGGTTTAGGGATCACACCCAGTGGTTCTCAGGGCTTAATCCTGGTTAGATGCCTAGGGATCACTCCCGGCAGTGCTCAAGGGAGTTTATGCTGTGTCCGAGATGGAATGGGGGGAGGGGAGGTGGCTGCAAACAAGTTAAGCTCCTTACCTCAGTAATATCTCTCAGAATCCTCATCACAGTCTTTTTTTTTTCTTTTAATACTACCAAAGTATCCCAGAGAAAATGGAAACCCATCCCCTCCCCTCCCACCGCCTCAGGTAAGGAGGGAGGAGACCAGGAGAGGTCGCGTTGCCCCTGGCGGTGCTGCTTTGGCCTTTATTCCCCACTTCTCCGGAGGAGTTCCAGGCCTGACCTACTTGTGAGCAGGGATGGCCACTCACATTGCACTGCCCCAAATTACACAGTGGCTTTGCCGACGGGGCTAGGCTGGGACCACAAACTATATCCTTGGAATCCCATGAGCCGGATTTGAACCTCCAGCTTCCAGAGGTAAAATGCAATCCATTGTGTGTAGCTCTCTCAATAAAATCGATAACTCCTTCCCCTCCGCACCACAATTTCACATTCCCACTTTTAGTCTATACTGCCTCTGGCTCTACCCACCCCCCAAAACAAAAAGATGGGGAGAAGGGGGGGGAGCACAGGAAGACACGCTTTTCATAAGAATGAAAAGCATCATTCCATAATTCTTAAAAAGCAGCTGAGCTTTGGGGCGGTGCTTCCAAACTATGGAGAAAAATTCTCAGATCCTTCAGCTTCATCCAAGTCTATCCTGGAGGCATCATCCATGGCTCCACACTGCCTATCACTTATTTTCCAAATTCTTGATTTCTGATTTTATCTTTCTCATAGAGGGACGGGGAAGCTCTGGAAATCGGTGCAAGTGAACTTGGCTTAGGAGAGGGCGCGGATGTGCCGGGTGAGAGGGAAGCCAGCTTATAACCTTGTTTATTTACCAAGGCGATATAGACACGCGCGTTTTCGTCTCGAAGGGGAGTATGACAGTCGCTCGCCTGAAATTCCCCAGCAATTTCATCCACAGCTGCAAAGAAGGCGGCAGGAAGGTTCCTTCCAAGGGAGCAATCCTGCGCCCGTCCCTGGCAAAGAGCAGCTCTCAACTAGGATCAGACGCCTCTGGCCGGAGGCAAGACACTCAAGGGTAAAGGCGGCCCTTTGTCCGAAGGTCCCCCCAAAAAAGGGGTTCGGAGGACTGGGTGGACCACCCTGTCCGAGTGGCAACCCCGGGAAGGAATCTGTGCAACGAAGGTCGGCTGGATCCCACCCCTTTCCTGCCGAGAGTTTCCCTTTCCTGTCCTTATTTGCACCGTCCCCGGCCCCCGGGCCACTCGGGGGAGCCTGGGGCCGTGGCTGGGGGTGCTGGCCCTCCTCTCCGGGTGCCCGCGGCTTCCTGGCGACCGCCCCCCGCTGGCGGCGCTGGTCCGGCCCTGGGCGGCCGCTCGAGTGCCTAAACAGTTAAGTTTGGAAGACTCGGCAGACACGTTGAGGGGGAGTTACCAAGTGCAGGCAGCAAAAACATCCCGGCGCATTCCAGGGGAGTCCTCAGCTGCCAGCATCTGATTAGAACCATATCTCGCCGGGAGTGGCCGCGCCGCTCCGAGGCTCCCGGGCCCGCGGCTATTTAAGCGCGGCCCGCCGTGTCGGCCGCGCGGCAGCCCCGAGGCTCGGCGGCGGCGGAGTCATGCTCGCTTCGCGGCGGCGCTAGCTGGCGGGTGAGTAGCCGCGGAGCTGCCTCTCGGGCTCCTCTGCCACCACGTCCCCGCCACCACCACCACCACCACCTCGTTCTCCTTTCCTCCTTTGCTTTTTTTCTCTTTTCTTTTCCTTTTTTTTTTTTTTGGTTTTACTTTTCTCTCCTCCTCTTGGGATGTAGACCTGGGACGACTGCCGGAGTGAGGGGTGGGGGCTGGGGGATGAGACCGTGCCTGCATGGACGCGGTTGGGGGATTGGGGAGGGGGGGCTGCATGCTTTTGTGGCCTGACAGCCTAGGAATGCCTCCTCGGGAACCATTTACCTTTGGGGTCCGACTGACTTCCAGATGTCAGCTCCTGACATTTCCCAAGCGCCTTGTGCGTGCGTGCGTGTGTGTGTGTGTGTGTGTGTGTGTGTGTGTGTGTGTGTGTGTTTAAAAGCTCCGTGGGCAGCCGGCTAGGATACTAGTGTGGTTGCCGATTGCCAAATTAACTCCTCCGAGGGTGTTTATGTTTGCGTAGGAACCTGGTTTGTGCCCACAAGCAGCACAACTCTGTCCGACAACCTATGACATTAAAATGTGAACTTCGTCTTACACCACATTCTTCAGAAAGTATCTGCTCGAGAGACTGAACAAACTTGTTTTAAATCTCCTCGGAAGCAGGGAACATGTCGTTTGCTCGCTTGCTGTAAAGGGACTGGAAAGATTACCAGTCAGGATGCTAGAAAAGGGGGAAAATGAATGGGTTAAAACCAGGGAGCCCCAGTCAACATAGCGGTTTTCATAGCATAGAGCTGACTCTGTTATTTGTTTCTGCCCTCCTTTTCCTCTTGACTTAATTCTTAGCCTGGAATTCAGGTCCGCGGTCCATTTCAGTGGGGAGCTGTGTGAGTCCAGGGAAATGTAACTGGATTAAAAACACTTAAAGAATCTGGATGTTATCTCCCCCCCCCCACATCCACCCCTCCACCCTTCTCCCCCCTCCCCCCCACCTTTTCCTCTTTCTTTTGAGTTTGTGTTTGGAAGGAAGAGAGGTACTCTGTAAAACGAGAAGAGCAGAAATAAGCTTCCAGACACATGGAAAGACTTAAAAATTATGGAGGGGCGACTTCATGAATAGTAAATGTTGTTATTGCTCTATAAAGTGACTTAATGAAAAAATTTCTGGCCCTAATCAGGCAAAGCAAGGGATGTGGGGGAAGAAGGAAGTAACACAGAACTAAATTAAACTGAAGGGGTGAAATGGCAGAGGGTATCAGACAGCTAAGCTCCGGGATAGTTTTGATGAGCCATAGAATTGACCTGCAGTGCGGTTGTGAGGTTGACTCCCAATCAGATGCATTTACTGCCTTCTGGGAGGGGCAGCTAGCTTGAGGCATGGCAGCCGCTAAAGGGCTTGTCTTCATGCTCCATGTTTGTTGTGTGCATGCTTGCTTCTTGCACCTGCAGCTAGGCCATGATTAGACTCAGCTCTCCGCCCCATCTACCCAGGTTCTGTCTCTGCCCTCACTGAAGAAGACAGGCCTCCAAGACACTCTTAGAAAGTTTATTGCTCAGAGAGATCAGATTGTGGGTGAAGGTGCTTGCCTTTGCTTGCCTTGCAAGTGGCTGACACTGGTTCGATCCATTTCCCAGCACCACAGCATCTGGTCCCCCATACCACCAGGTATCCAGGAATAAGCCCTGAGCATAGGCAAGTATGGCCCCAAACAAACCTACCATCCCCCACCCCCACATCCCATAAATAAAAAATGAAAACGTAAGTTTTCTTTAGGAAGTTAGGAATATTTGATAATTGAACAGTCCTTAATCTCTGGAGAACCATCTTTTTTGTCAAGTATAGTGACAATAGAGCAATTCCATATTTAACACAGCATTTCAGGTGTAATGTGGAGAATCTCCTAGAGAACCACACCCTCGAGGCCATATGGTCTTTTCCAATGGGTATTTCTAGGACAGGCTTTCTAAATTCCTTCTCATTTTCCTTCCAAGGCAGACTAATTTTTTTTTTCTGTCACAAGACAATACCTTAACTTCTACCTACCCTTTCTACTCTCATCTCTAACTCTTCTGATTTCAAGACTCACCTAGAAACCTGTTCTTCTAATTTTTAGGTATGCAAATAATGAGTAGGGGAATGTCTTAGTAGTTGTCTCTTGTCTTGGACCTGAGAGCATAAGGGAGAAAAGGATCTCAGCACCTGCTGAAACCTTGCCTGGTTTAAGAATGTAATCCAGAGTCCACATTTTCTTTCAAGACCTTTTAGACTTTCAACTGGATGTCCAAATTGCTCTGCCTTAGCCTGATTGATGTGTTGCCATGTTCAGAGGAGTGAGTGGATTCAGTCACCATGTTTGGGTTGAAGAGAATTGTTTTTTAGACACTTGCTGGCTTGCAGGCAGTGCAGGGATCCCTGGGAGCTACTGACAGCGGGTTGGGGTTGATGTTTACTGGCCTCCACAGCCAATCCTCGAAGACCTGGAGATTCAGAGAGAAAACAAATCTTGCTGAGTGTCCCCTGGCCAGTAGGATGTGTTTCATGTGGGAAGGAGGGAGGGGAGTCACACCCACTGATGCGCAGGGGCTACTTCTGGCAGTGCATTCAGAAACTATGCCTAGTGGTGCTGCAGGACCATCCAGGGATCATGCAAGAAAGATCAGCCGCATGCAAGAAAGACGCCTTGCCCACTGTACTATCATTCCCGGCCCATGTGTTGCATTTTGGTGGAACACTGAGGAGGTGTTGCTTGACTTCTAATTCTTCCCACAGAGGTCCATCAGCAGAAGTTTGCTACGCTTATAATTTTTAAACCTGGATAGGTTTAAACGTTTTATACTTCTTTCTTTCTTTAGTGTCTGCTGACTTGAGAATTTTATCAGTGCCTTTCTTAAAATCAGAGCTAAGATGCTGAAATAGTTTGGTTTGTTTGTTTTTATTTGGGGACCATAACTGGTAGTGATCAGGGCTTATTCTGGTTCAGCACTAAGGGATCATACCCAGTGAGCTCAGGAGACCCAGTGGAGTGCCGGGGATTGAATTCAGGTTGGTGTATGCAAGGCAGAAGCCCTATGACTGTACTACGACTAATATGCTGCAACATTTGAGAAGACTGCTAAAGTCTGAGCTCTCTGGGGTTTGAAGATTGCCTCGCTGGTCATTATTAGAACATTTTTCTCCAGGTGGAAAGTCCTGAATCCAGATTGGTCTGGGGAGTTTGGGGTAACTGACCAAACAGGTATGGTTTTCTACCCAACAACCAGAAAGAGAAAAAGAACCAGACTGGCAATATAAAACACCCGAGTATTGAATGTGGCATTTTAAAATTTCTTCTGGCACTTCTGAGTAATTCTACAACTGGGGCTGTGCCTCTGACTTGCACAGAGGTAAGCCAAATCAGTTAGGTAAAATATCAGTGACATCAGGTATATGTATAGAGAGAACCTCTTCAAGTAATGTGTCCTAACTGCATTAATCTTTCGAATCAGAGGAAAAGCTGGTTTTCCAGTATTTTTTCAAAAAAAAAGATTTTTGTTTGTTTATGGATCACACCCAGCTTTTCTCTGGGCTTGCTACTGATTCTTCCCTCAGGAATCACTCTTTGGCAAGGCTTGTTCAGACCATACAGGTTCCGGAGTTGGAACCCGGGTCAGTTGCAGGCAAGGCAAATGCCCCACCCACCCCATGCTAATTTTTTGATTGAGGAACTAAGCATGCTAAGTATACACACTAAGGATTTCTGTCAGATTCTGCCTTGCCCCTAGCACATACCTTATAGAACATGCCTCTGGAGGTCCATTGCCTCAGTCTAATTCCCAGCTGGTGTGACCTTGGACAAATTGCAAAACCTCTCAATACTTAGACTTCTTATCTGGAGAGAATAGCAGTACCTGCCTCGTGCCTGTTGTAAAGACTCTTAATCTAGTACATTTAAGACATTGTCTTGCTTAACATAGAAATGTATTTTGTTTTGGTTTTGCCCCCCTAAACTAAAGGGAGAATGGAGAATTTCTTCGTCAGAGTTGGGAAATGTATGATCTGTTTTGATTTTACTCCCCTAATATAAGGGGGGGGGATGGAAAATTTCTTTGTCAGAATTGGGAAATGTATGTTCTGTGTTGGTTTTGACCTCCTAAACTAGAGTGGGGAGGGAGGGTGGAGAATTTCTTTGTCAGAATTGTACACCTTTCCTCTTACCTGAAAAATGTTGCTCATTCAAGCACATAATAGTAACAAAGCCCTCCGTGTTTGCTATGTTTGCTCAAGCTCCGACACACAGGCAGTTCTCTCTGTTCTCCTCCTGGAAAGCCGCAGTTTGGTTTGGTCAACTTAATCTTCTCTTTGAACATGAAGTGCTCCCCCTTTCACCTACACCCCCACTTCGGATTCCCTCAGAGAAGGAACAGTCCTTTCCCCTGAAGTCAGCATTATAGCAGAAGGAAGTGGGAAAGGAGGGACCACCCATACTAAACTGAGTGCCTAGGCTAGAAATCAAGTCTAAGTGTGTGCAGCCCGTACTGTCCTTGCCCACATAGCTGGGCAAGTTGCCATGGTTACTCCCCTTTCCCGAATCCTTCTCCTATCCTGGACGGAACCCTGCCATCTGGGATAAGCAAAATCTGAACAAATTGCTTCCTGGTCTAAAAATGGAAGCTGCTTTTTTTTTTTTTTTTAAGTAAGGTAGAATCTCCTCTCTACCTACTTCATCTTTTTCTTCTTCTAAACTTACTTAACTCTTAACTTTAATTGTCTAATCCTTGCTAATTCTTAAGTTTTATGAAATTTCAAGAATGCAAAATCTATTGTTGCAACAAAGTAGCTAACATTCTGGCAATTTTTCTCCTCCGGGCCATAACTCACTCAAACTAGCTCAAGGCAGATGACCTTTAACTGCCTTAAACTTATCAGCATTTGGATGTAGTTGAAGTCTGGTAAAGTGTTCAGTTGTAGGTAAAGTGAGGGCTGTCATTTTTGTTTTTAGGTAACAAAAGAAAAAAGCTGATAGAATGGGAAGTAATAA